GTAGACATTGTAAAACAAGGTAAACACGGCTAACATAGCTTGCAAGAACCAAAGAACGTGGTGTAAATATATGTGGCAATTGCCGTTTATATAGTGCACAAACAGCTTCTAAGATGAATACACAAGCTTACAGTGGCTTCAGAAAATAACAGTACCACAAGCAGCGAATTTACAACGGAGACAGTGCATCCAATCTGAGAACCAGTGGTTTCACATCTATCGCCAGCATATATATTTTTAGAGCAAACAGCATATTTAATTTTGTTCACCCAGTTATCTTGCGCTCGGCATTCTTCATCATGAGCACGAATTCGTCGTAGTTCACCTGCCCGTCGCCATCAGTGTCCGCCTCCCTGATCATCTGCTCAACCTCCTCGTCGGTCATCTTCTCCCCGAGATTGATCATCACCGTCCTCAGCTGCATTTCACATGGGCAACATGAAATTCAGGAGTGCCTCAAATGAGCTTGGGAATTATCTGAACTTGAGAAGAGGGTGCCAATATACTCACCTCAACAGGGGAGATAAAACCATTCCGATCCTTGTCCAGGACCTCGAAAGCTTCCTTGAGCTCTTCATCTCCATCTCCATCCTACAATTCACGTGGAAATCAAAAGTAACAGCACGTTCAAGCTAGTAGAATCAAATCAAACAGTTGATTATTTCATCTGATTGCAGAGCTTCACCTGCATCTTCCTGGCAATGAGGCTCAAGAACTCCTGGAAATCAATGGTGCCATTTCCATCCATGTCGACTTCACGCATCATGTCATTGAGCTCTTGGTTGGTCGGATCGAGGCCGAGGGAGCGAGTCACCGCGGCCAGCTCTTCCAAGCTGATGCATCCTTCATGTGACAAATTAATGTCCCAATATCTCACATGTCAATCAGAATCAAAAAATAATTATTGTTCAATTTAGCTCATACTTATCCTGAATTCCCGATCCCGGAGAGGCCAAGACAACACCACGTGCAAAGCACGGTCAAAGATTTTGGCAAAAGATAGAGGTTTGAGGAGGCAAAGGATATGATAAACTGGAGTACTAGTTAAATGTATACGAGTAGAGAAGTGTGTGACAAGTAATATCACCACAGCCATCAGAAAACAGTTTTGATTCTTGAAGGGAATGTCATGGATTGCTTAAGGAACTTTCTGTCTAAAAATTACTTGAGGAACTTGGGCATTAGATTAGCGAGCCATGTATGGGCATTTTTTGTGTGTAGAAAGTAGGTGGACTGCAGAGATAAAAAAAATTCTGAAGAAAGCAGGTGGACTGCAAAGCACTTGTTGTGACAAGCTAAAGGGTTCTTTGACTAAACCAAGTGCTTGTTTGGCACAACAGGTCTCTGCAGTAGGGGGGTTTCATATGAATGAGACGGACCCTACATGTTTGTTCTGTACAAAAATTCTTTGAATTGCAGGGTTGAATCCACTACTCTAGCATCGTTCGAGAGAGGAACTAAAAACAGGCTATAATATCTGAAATTAGTCATATACTGCTTTCTCTAGAGCAGACAGAGTTGGACAAGCGGCGACGCGTTAGAAAACCATGAGCCCGTCTTATTTATGGTTCATTCAGGTTAGGACTGCCAGTTCTGCATTTGAGGAGTTTTTTTTTTTTTGCGCAAAGCATTTGAGGAGTTTTTGCGTCTATACGGAGCTTTGTGTTGCTACAAAAGCCTTGTTGATTTCTATCTAGTAGTCCACGACAGATACTAGAAAAGACGAAAGACCCGCAAAAAAAAAGATGGAACGGAAGTAAAACAATAGCATTGCTTGTAAAGGCCAGCTATGAGCAACAAGAGAGTAGGAACAAGCACTGAAAATAAGCAAAGCGATCAAGGAGAGGGGATGGGAGGGGAAAGCAGAAAGCAGACGGACCATCGCCGTTCTTGTCGAAGAGGGAGAAGGCCTCCTGGAACGCCACCATCTGCTCGCCCGTCAGCGCCTGTTCCATGCGCACGCCGCAGCCTCTGGATCAATGTTCAATGGAGCGAGAAGGAGAAGAAGCAAGCAGTGGCTAGCAAGAAGAACTATATGGGGGAGAGGAGAGGAGAGGAAGGAAGCTGGGTGGAAGTATCCTGCAATGCCAATGCCAATGGCCATGGGAGAAAAGGGGCCGGGTAGAGATAAATAAAGATGACCTGACCTCGGTTGGGTCTCACACTCGGTGTGCTCGGAGACCGACAGGGACGCACACGCGCTAGCCACGCTGTGGACGCTGGGCGGCGCGGCTTGTGGAAAAACTTGGCGCTGGGTCTCCTGGTTTTCCCGGCCATTTCCTGCACTTTCCCTGCCATTCCCCCGCGGTGTGCTCGCGACAGCGACCACAAGAGCAGTCCCGATCTCATCCAAGAGCTGATGAATCGTATATACATTCTGCCTTTTGTTTTCGTTGCATTCAGGGACAGAGGAAGGATGGTAGGTGAGGTCTGGGAAAAGACTATACGAGGCAAATTTTATCACCGCACTGTAATTTAGAGAGGCCGTGTCGAAACCAGGACCTCTTGCACAAGTGGGAAGTACTCCACCTCTGTGCCGGGCCTCATCTTCATCGTTTATGAATATAGAGATGAGATAAAAATCAAAGGGGATTAGTGTCCCAGACTGCCCAAGCTCTAGAGCTATAACAGGATTTAGCCAAACGACCTGCTACTGTACTTCATCAGCAGCCCGGTTAGACGAGATGAATCTGATCATACCAAAGTGGCTCTGAAACTTTGAATTCGAAACCTGATTGGTCCAGAAAGAGCAAATTGAGGATTTTAACAAACAGGGGAAGCAAAGCGTGTACGGGTAAGCAACTCTACTGCAGGACTGATGGAGGTGAAACGTGAGTGAAGAAGTTGCAACTCTACTGCTTGCTCTACTGCAGCTACGCACCTGGAGTGTGCCACTGTCCATAGGACTAGGGAAAAAACATAACAGGTGTAGCTTCAGACGGGCTGGATAAACTTTGAAGTGGGCAGCTACGACTTAGAAAAGTAACATGTTTGGTAACTTGAACTTAGTCGGCCATTAATAAAACAATCAGCACTGACGACTTCTTCATACACAAGCTGGATCAACAACAATGTAAATAAATTGTTTAAGTATGGGTCTTGTCTAGTCACCCAAGAGCTACTCAAGCGAACAGCACTTGTGCGTCACCGATGATTACTGCATCTGGTTAGGATCAGCCATGCATACTGAACACACAGCAGCACACTGCTGCAGCAGAATCAATCATTCAACGGTTGTAGACCGACAAAATAAATATCTGCAGCCTAGAATTAAGGGCCCAAATGGGTACCCTCCAGGGTCACAGATTTGCATCCCTAATTTGTCTGCTCTAGACTTGAGCCCCTTCCACTGGGCTATACTGACAAAACAAGAATAAAAACCAACTTGAAAAAACCGATAACAAAAACCAACTCAAGAAAAAACCAGAACAAAAACAGCTACCAGAGGACGCTGATGGAGACAAACAACAAATACTCAGAACATGTTTAAAAGGTTTTTGCATTCAGAGTCCAATCACAGAGTCAACGAACGAACATAAACACCATGTCCAAATGACTGAATCAGTACCAGGTAAACATTACACAGACAGACAACGACTTCGATCTGGAAGGAGCACAGCTAAACACTAAATGACACGACGATAAACTTATCTGACAGACGACTGAGAAAATGTCCAGTTCAAGCTAGAGATGCTCCTTTGCTATTTTTTCTGTTCACTCTTTGGAGGACTTGTTGATCAGGGACTTGTGGATGTGCGGGATCACACCTCCACCAGCAATGGTGCCCTTGATGAGGGTGTCGAGCTCCTCGTCTCCACGGATGGCCAGTTGGAGGTGACGAGGGGTGATACGCTTGACCTTGAGATCCTTGCTGGCGTTCCCAGCCAGCTCCAGAACCTCAGCTGTCAGGTACTCCAGGATAGCAGCAGAGTAGACCGCCGCAGTAGCACCAACACGGCCATTGGCCTGAGTCCTTTGCTTCAGCTGACGATGGATACGGCCCACAGGGAACTGAAACATCACATAGCCAAGAATTAGTACACAGAGCATGCCTCACAATAAAAGAGACCTACACGAAAATTGCATAACAGTAACATCAAATCGAAAGATGCAAACACCGAAAATCAAGTGTCTTAGCAGGATTTCGTCAAAACATCCGACTATACGGACATACCAACTTAGGCACCCATGCTGCAAAGTGCAAGGCCAAATAAATAATATATATGCATAAATTTGAAAACCATGGACCAATTGGCAATCACATATTTGAAGTGGAGTGTGAAACAGATGTGAAAGCAGAAAGCACGTACACAAGTCGGTATCACAGATCAGCGTATGCTAACAAACTATCACTTGTTTAGTACAGTACATGATACCAAGAAAGATTCAGCATGACTAGTGAGATTGATGTGACAACAGTATATCATACACACAATAAAACTAGGACGTGTCGATTACTTCATGACTTGCAAGAAGTTAAGGGGGGAAAAGCCACAATAGCCTCATTCAATCATTTGTGTCTCCCAGCATAGCTCACCACATGCATTCCCAAAGGGGCAAATTACAGAATCACAACCTTCCTCTCTAACTAGTAAACAGCGCTCAGACCAAAGCTAATGTGATATGATCTCCATCAGTATTCCCCAATTGCCCATCTTTCACTATTATGACCATAACACCACTGCAGTCTCATCAATAGTTGCCTTTCCTAGGTCTACAGGATCGAGGGACGGGACGAGGGTCAAGCATCACCGGTGGCCAAACATAGGGATCAAAACACAACCAAAAGTCTCAGGACGATGACCCAAGAACAACGATGGGACAAGGCATACTGTGGTTGGTTAACTAATTAATTAGTTGCCTAATTACATGCATTGATTCTAGTGATAATTTTATCTACATCCTGATCTGCATCCAACCCGATTTGCATCTACCGAAATGGGGCCGCAGCATTGTTCCACGCTTCAGACAACTATGGACTCACCACCTATCTATAGACCAATGCACAAGGAATTCTATCATCATGAAATCTACAAAACCTCGATGCATATCACGAACCGAATCCTCTGTTAAGGCAACCAGCCTCAAACCATACAAAACTTATAACCCGATAGATGTGTCCACGCTCCAATCGAACAAACAGATCGTGATGGTAACCAGTCCACTTAACACAACTAGACAGAGCAAATGCTTACCCAGATCTACAAAAATCCTGTTAGGCCCTACAACTATAATCTAATTAATTAGTTGCCTAATTACATGCCTTAATTCTAGTGATAATTAAGAAACAGTCTTTATCTACATGAGCTATATATGGAAATAAGAAAAAAAAGGAAACAATGTAATCTAAATCCCAATCTGCATCCAACCGGATTTGCATCAAGGCAGGTGAAGCAGCAACATACCCCTGCGCTGCCTCAACGACCCAGCCCGGCGCCCTAGGCTTACCTGGCTACTGGGTGCGGCGACCAGGCCCCGGCCACCATATCCACGCTTAGGATAAAGTGACCTTGGAGGCCTCCGGCGGTGCAGCTCCACTACCGGCTTCCAACGACACAGCTGCGTGGTCTGGCGGATGCCACCGACGCCAGGGGTCGTTCATGAACTGGGGTCACGAATGGGTCGCGTCCCCGCCGTCTACTCATGCCGTCCCACACCTCAATCCCAACCCTAGATCCAGGTCAACCACCCCGGAAAAGGGGCCGTGGCTTCGTTCCGTGTGAATGGGTCGCGTCCCCGCCGTCAACTCATGTCGTCCCACACCTCAATCCCAACCGTAGATCCAGGCAAACCACCCCGGAAAAGGGGCCACGGCATCGTTCCGCGCGAATGG